TGAAGAAACTCAAACTTTGAGGTGTAACGTGGAAACATGAATACATAGGTGACTGTTTCTGAGATGGCTTGGAATGGATGTAGCATTTTACTCATCGAGCCCAAGATGGAGCGTCTTGGGTTCGTTCTGCACTGCTGGATGAGTAGGTAGTATAAGCGGCAAGAGGGTCCGTCCGTGATTTTCTCAGCTCAGAGGGTTGTCCGTGCCAGTTCACTGTTTTTGTCCATGTCTTCGTAGAAACTCCCCCTTCAGCTCCACTTGGTGAAAAGCCAGATTGTTGCTGAGCGAGATTGAGCTCTTCGATTGACATGTTCAATGACTCCATCAATCGTTTAGCGGCGTCGCCTTGCACATAGTTCAGATGCACAGCCTTTGGGATAGAATACCGTCGCCCAGTATCTGGGACAACTATCTCGCCGGTGAGAACGTCAAGAAGGCCAGTTTCAGCAGCTTCGCGAACTGAGAGCCGCTGACCTCCGGACGGATTTGTGATAACTTTCTCATCAGTGTCAAATCGATTCGCTTCCAAATTTGCGAGGAATTCGTGCTGTAAATCAGCGAGAGTGGAGGGATCGTCAATCAAGCTACGGGCGCGATCTCCGACGTTAGTCTGAGAATGGCGCATCCTCACCGTAAGAGAGGGTTCCTGCTTTTGAGGAGTTAATCGTATTACAGTGCTCTCTTCCCTGAACTTCGGCACACTTGTCCTGCTTCCCCTCTGTCCTCCGTCCACATTCTCAATTTTGAACTTGTATCCCTCAGCATCGCGTCGCTTCACCGCTTCAGCCACTGCCTGCGCAGCTTGCATGGGCGAAGCAATGAGGGCAATCAAACCTCCTTTGACCGCGTCTCTTAGTGTCATCCTGAGGTTCCCAGCTATGTACTTCCCATCATTGTCAATTTTTTTACGAGCGAGTGCTTCCCTTAAGGTCAGTGTTTGTCCACTTTCGAGATCGTGAAGTAGTGAATCACCGTCGATTACCTCGCGTTCAACAGCATCTTTGAAAGTAAGGTGCAGACCGGTGCGCTTGTCACGTATTCTACCAGAATTCTCATCGAACTCTTCAGAGTTTAGAACGTTGCAAAGGTTCTTTTCATCAGAACCTTCCATAGCTTCAACATTGCCGGTATCGATGTAGCCCTGCTCAATAGCTTGTGCTATGGTGATTTGTTTTCCAGTATCTGGATCTGTGAAGATGTTGGAGCTCACATCAATGAGTCCCTTTCCCAGTGCTTCGGCAAAGTTTAGCTTATCAATTTGCCGAAGTTTTTCACCAATTTCTCGGGGGATTCGTCCATCCTCCACAGCTTTAGCAATTGGGACAATGCTTTGCCGAGACAGTTGGATCGTCTTATTCTTGGGATCGATAAGCTTTGCCTCTACGGCATCAATAAGATTTAAATGGCGATTTGTCCTGTAGTCCTGCAGGAAGGGCTTGGTGATTGCATCATAAGTGCCACTGTCAATGAGACCTCGATCAACGGCATCTTTTAGTTCAATATCTTCCGAAGTTATGGGATTATGGTACTTTCCAGTCTTTGTATCTATCAACCCTTCGTTGAGAGCGTTAGTGACAGGGATACGCTGGCCTTTGGTAGGATCGAATACTCCGTCACTAGTGATAGCCTGATAAACCGATTTTATGATATCAAGCCAGGTGAGACGTTTCCGGGTGTGAGGATCGCGGACTTCACCTGTTCGAGCGTCCACAATGCCTAACTCAATCGCTCTCTTAATGGGTATCCGCTCATTGTTGGCCGGGTTGCAAACGCCTTTAGGCAAAGTTTCAGCTAGCGTCACATCAACAAGTCCCATATTAGCGGCTTGAGTTAGTGGAATTGATTCGCCAGACTTCGGATTTCTGTAGCTCAATTCACGAATGTCTATTATACCCGCCCGAATTGCATCCTCAAGACTAATCTTTTCCATGTGCGCGTCGAGAACACCACTGTTGAGGGCGTTCTGGATATTCGAGCGGAACACTGAATAAGTTTTCGTCATTTGCTTGCCTTTCTTGTCCACTCGTGCCAGACCCATTCTCTTAGCATCCTCCAAAGACATTGTGCGATTGTTTCTCTTATCTCTAATCCTATCAATTCCAACAAATTCAGCATGTGGCTCAAGCTCTACTGATTGAACTTGCGAAGTACTCTTTACTGTTGTTTTTGTCTCAGTAACAAATGGATCACCGTGCATTTGAATGGTAAACTTCATTCCGGTTGATGGGTCAACGTACTCTCCTTTTTCAACACCGCCTTCTCCTCGCACGACCTTGACCATAACCTGCTTGCCACCCCCGAGGTCAACATATTCATGTCTATCACTTCCATTCCTGCTCGATGGTATAACAGGTTGAGGAGCGAATGGTGTTAGTTGTAGCTTCTGCTCGACAATCTTATGAGAGCTATGCGAAGGACGAGAGGTTGATCCGGCACCTGCGATCAGACCAGTCGTAAGCGCTTGAGGGAAACTAGTTGCTTCATTGGTTTGCTGGTTGTGAATAAGTCCACGCTCTGGATCTACAATGTGACGGGA